CCCCCGCCGTTTTGAAGGTTTTTGAATCCGCCGGGGTGTGGTTGCGGCGGCGGTGATTTGACTCTCTCTCCCTCTCTCTCTCTCCCTGCGCGCGCAGCGCGCGATTTTTTCGGCGGGAGGGCCGTTTTAAACGATTTTTGAGCCCTCCGTCGAGCCGTGGCGGGGAGCTCGTAACCCTAACTTAACCCTAGCTCTCGACGTGATCCTAACCCTAACGTCATGACGGTGTGCCACCTCTAACCCTAACCGCAACACTACCCTGGCTAACCCTAACGACACCCGGCAATCTTTATGCTTGGGGCGCTCGAGAGCGCCGCGTGGGCGAGGAGAGCCGGCCGAGCTCGCCGGAGGCGGTCTCGTGGCGAAGACGGCGGCGGTGAGATGGAGGGTTGCGGCGGGATCGAAGGCATTTTTTCCGTCGGCACGGCGGTCGGCCACCGCCGATGCGAGGCTGCGCCTCGCCTTTGCTGCTCGGCGCAGCGGGTGGTGACGCTGTGACCGAGAGAGCCGACGCAACATCGAGAGTCGCGACCGCGCGGTGTCGAGGTGACGTGACAGCGAAAAGAGCACGAGAGAGGCGGCCGGCGCTCCGAGTCGATGAGCGAAGACCCTAGCAGCGACAGCACGAAGCGTGAGCGAGAGCGAGCGGGTGCGGGTCAGGTGGCGCTGGTGTCGAGTCCTGCAGAGCGAGGCAGTGAGTGCGATGGCGGCCGCAGAGCAGTTTCGGAACCGGCGGTGGCGAGGGCGGCGGCAAGTGCAGGAGAGCGAGTCCGTCGCATGCACACGGAAATGCCATGGCTACGCAGTGGGTGGTGTGGACGGAGCGGAGGCGTTGCGTGGGTGCACGCTGCGACGCGCCTGCGCGAGCGTGAGCAAATGGCAAGCGAGCGAGCTGTGCCGTCCGCGACCGAAAAAGAATTTTGCCGCGCAGCCGGTAAAGAATTTTCGACAAAGGGCGGTCGCACGAAACGATTCACGCGACAGGCGAGGCAGGAAAAGAATTGGAACCCGGAAAACGAAGAATCGACGCGCTGAGATGGATGCGCTGAGAAGAAGAAAAACATTTGTCAGACGCCATTCAAAGGCCGTGTGTCGCGTGTGCTGCGCTACACGCTCGGCGCTGCTAGCCCGGCGAGGAGCGCCTTTGGGGCGGCGAGAAGGCGCCGGACGGCATTCACGACTCGAGGTGTGAAGAGACGCCGTTCGCACTTTGTGCCACGAATAGGGCTCAGATCGCCGACTCACGAGACGGCCATCGCGGTGCGTGTGCAGCACGTGCTCCTCTGCACGCGCCGCGCTCTCAACGCGGCGCGCAGCGCCGCTAGAGCGGCTTGACGGCGAAAAAAAGACTTAGCGGCTTCGAGGTGTGAGGAGACAAAATTCACACTTTTCGACTCGGATAGGGCTCGAGGCGCCGATTTGTCAGACCCCGTTCACGGGCCGTGCTGCGTGTGTGCTGCGCTACACGCTCGGCGCCGTTAGCACGGCGCGGAGCGCCCTTGGGGCGGTGAGAGGGCGCCGGACGGCGCTCACGGCTCGAGGTGTGAAGAGACGCCGTTCACACTTTCTGCTATGAATAGGGCTCGGCTCGCCGACTCAAGAGACGGCCTTCGCGGTGCGTGCGCAGCGCATGCACGTGCTCCTACGCACGCGCCGCGCTCTCCACGCGGCGCGCAGCGCCGCTAGAGCGGCTTGACGGCGAAAAAAAGACTTAGCGGCTTTGAGGTGTGAAAAGACGGTTCTCACACTTTTCGACTCGGATAGGGCTCGAGGCGCCGTTTTTTCAGACGCCGTGCAAGGGGCGTGTCGCGCGTGTACTGCGCTACACGTTCGGCGCTGCGAGCACGGCGCGGAGCGCCCTTGGGGCGGCGAGAAGGCGCCGGACGGTGTTCACGGCTCGAGGTGTGAAGAGACGCCGTTCACACTTTCTGCTATGAATAGGGCTCGGCTTGCCGACTCAAGAGACGGCCTTCGCGGTGCGTGCGCAGCGCGTGCTCCTCCGCACGCGCCGCGCTCTCCACGCGGCGCGCAGCGCCGCTAGAGCGGCTTGACGGCGAAAAAAAGACTTAGCGGCTTTGAGGTGTGAAAAGACGGTTCTCACACTTTTCGGCTCGGATAGGGCTCGAGGCGCCGTTTTATCAGACGCCGTGCAAGGGGCGTGTCGCACGTGTGCTGCGCTACGCGCTCGGCGCCGTTTGCACGGCGCGGAGCGCCCTTGGGGCGGTGAGAAGTTGCCGGACGGCGTTCACGGCGTCGAGGTGTGAAGAGACGCCGTTCACACTTTCTGCTATGAATAGGGCTCGGCTCGCCGACTCACGAGGCGGCCTTGGCGGTGCGTGTGCAGCACGCGCTCCTCTGTACGCGCCGCGGTCTCCACACGGCGCGCAGCGCCGCTAGAGCGGCTTGACGGCGAAAAGAAGACTTAGCGGCTTTGAGGTGTGAAAAGACGGTTCTCACACTTTTCGGCTCGGGTAGGGCTCGAGGCGCCGATTCATCAGCCGCCGTGCGAGGGGCGTGCTGCGCGTGTGCTGCGCTGCACGCTTGGCGCTGTTAGCGAGGCGC